AACAATAACAGATAAGTTCACCAAGAGGAAAAAGCAAAGTGGTCACCCACATGAATTTGTCTTCTTCCTTTTCTCCTGGCAGTGCAACGTGTGAAAGCAGAGGCTGCAGCAAAAATGCTGGAGGAGATGCAAAAGAAGAATGAGCAGATGATGGAGGAGAAAGAAAGGAGTTACCAGGAACATGTGAAACAATTGACTGAGAAGATGGAGCAGGAGAAGGCCGAGTTAAAGGCAGAGCAAGAGAGGGTTCTGTCTCTTAAACTTCAGGTATGTAATGGCATCACCTTGATGTTTGTCTTTTTCTGTTTTCTGAACACTCTCCCTGACCTGTTTGTGTGGCTGTTAGAACTCGAAACCCGGAAGGACCTTGCTTGCTCACTTATACCTTTCAATCCCTGTCCTGTCTGCCTGACTTGGAGCCTGCCTATGTCTGGTTATTGAAAAAAAATTATTTTCCTTTATCTCACATCCAGTCCTTTGTTAGTACATTCTTCAATCAATGGTAGCTATTATCTTCCAGGCATTATAAATATGTCTTATCTGTATCTCTTGCTTAATATTATATGAAGCAAGAATTGCTGTGTACCTATACCTTAGGAGAAGAAACAAAGGTTCAGAAAAGATGAGCTTTTATAGGGTCACACAGATCAGTAAGATATCTGAACCACCTTCCAACTTAGAGGAATCTACAATCACTGTTTTTCTGTCACACCTGGTATGACTTTGGTTCTAAGAGAACCTTTATGAGCAGAAAGACTCCTTGCCTCTCACACCTGTGTCTGCCACTCCTGACTGTTTGCTATGCCCTACGTCTAGTTTGTGTAGTGGGTTATGTGCCGAAATCCTGTGTGGACATTTAGGGGCCTTGATGTCCTTACTTATACCCTGCTACTCTTGCCACCAAGCTGTGGAGGCTTAAATCAAATTCCCTCATCTAATATTCAGACACTTCCTTTGATTTTGAGAATTTTTTATTTCTGTCATGTGTATGTATATAAAAGTCTGAGTGTGTGTGTGTGTGTGTGTGTGTGTGTGTAAAAGAGTCTATAAAATTTGAAAAGAAACATTTGATTAAGATTGCCCACATATGTTGTATAGGATTAATGGGACTTATAATTTAATTTTATCACTATATTAGAAGGTATAAGCCAAAATCACTCTTAGCTAAAGGAAGCTCAAGAAAAGCAATCATGCAGCTAGGATGTCCAAGAGAAAGTATAATGAATATTTATGGTAGAAAAAATTTCAAGAAGAAATTAACTACTAAGAATGTGAAAACTAGCTAGAAGTTGAGATTTGCTTACTGATATACTTTATTTACTCTTTATTTGTCCCTTTTTAGGAACAGGCCAAGTTACTAAAGGAAGGATTTCAAAATGAGAGCAGGCAACTTCAGAGAGAAATAGAGAATCTCAAGAATAACATGAAAAATACCGGCGGCGGTGGTTGTATCTTAATCTAAAGACCTAAGGGAAAGCTTTTCTGATCACTCTACCCAAGGCATAACTCAAGCAGTTTTAGAATCTGGAAAAATGTCACAACTTGAGAAAAAGTGACCTTCTTTAAGCTGATAAAAGAAATCTACAAAAAGCCCTTCACCTAACATACTTAATGATAAAAAATGGAATGCTTTGCCCCTAACACAGGAATAAAGCAAGGATGTGAAGTCTCCCCACTCCTGTTAAACAGTATAATGAAAGGCTTCCTACAATATGGCAAAAAGGAAGGAAGGAAGGAAGGAAGGAAGGAAGGAAGGAAGGAAGGAAGGAAGGAAGAAAGAAAGAAAGAAAGAAAGAAAGAAAGAAAGAAAGAAAGAAAGAAAGAAAGAAAGAAAGAAAGAAAGAAAGAAAAGTCAGAAAGGATAAAACTGCCTTTATTCTCACACACTTTGATTATCCACATAGAAAAATCCCAGTGAATCTGCAACAAAAGCAAAAAACAGCAACAACAATGACTCTTGGAACAACTTTGTAAGTTTAAAAAGGTTGTAAGATTCAAGGTCAATACACAAAAATCCACTTTCAATTGTATTTTTATATAAAAGCAATGGACTATTGGAAACCAAAAATTA